TTACAGTTGTACTCTTTACTTTCAACTAGTGGTCGACCGATATAGTTTTTTTTTACTGCCGATGCCAATATCTTGGAAAGCAGGGTGGCCGATGGCCGATATAAAGCCGATATAATTGTATTTATTTTAATTAATATTTAAGAAATTTGAAATCATTTGAAAATGGATAAAAAAATACATTTGTAAAATAAAACATACTTATACTTTAGTTGACAAAGTATTTTCTACAAATAAATATTTAATAAAAATATAATTAAAAAGGATTGGGAATGCATTGGGAATATTTTATTTTATTTTTTCAAATAAAGCCAAGGTAACACTCATTTTACATACAGCACACAGTAAAAAAAAAGGTTAGAATATGACAGTGGGCAGATGCATAAAACCCAGCATAATTTGAAATCACGAATTTAATGTTTAAACTTTAAAGCATTCAATTTGCACGGTCACATGCACACTTCACAAGATCTCACAACTGGATTCGACTAAGTTTGCAAGGTTTGTGAAAGTAAATGTTCATTAGCCATTCGAAGATTTGTTTAAATGATGTTAATGCATATTTGCTGAATGCTGACAGCAAACGAGAAAGTATTATAATGTTTGCCTTTCTATTATTAATAATATAAAACCAATCGTTATAAGATTTTTTGTATACATTTTAATTCCTTTGTTTAACAGTTCTATCTGATTATTAGACAGAACTGTTAACGACGACAGCGAACACAAGAGGGAGAATGTGAGCTGTCAGCGCCGTCAAAATAAAAGTCCTGCCTCGAACGCATCGGCCAAACAGAAAATCTTATTGGCCGATGCCAATATTTGAAAAATGCCAAATATCGGCCGATATATCGGCCTTGGTGATATATCGGTCGGCCACTACTTTCAACATTACTAATTTATAATACAGCAGTGCTGTGACAGTTACAAGCTTACAGTGAAAGTCTATGATGGCAACACACCCCATATTGCCCTTAGACTTCCGTTGTTAGGGAATTTCTGATTTCTGAAATTGTGAGATTAATTGAAATTTATATTCTGTTGTATTCAAGCTTAATTCATATTTAACCTAGATTTAACGTCAATTAAATCTTAATTTTGGAATGTTTTCAGGTGTCCTTGTGTTTGTTATGCTGGGAGTTTTTCATTGAGTAAAGGGATTGAGTGGTAGGTTCTCTTGTTGCACATGTTTCCATAATGAAGGATTTAGATTTTCACAAGCATGAGGTTCATTTAGTCAGTACTCTGATATCTTCTTCTCAACTGAAACCCAGCATAACTGTGAAAGTCATTTCTCAAACCTCAAGACTCAAGACTAGTTTTACACTAGTTGCTGAATTATTGTCTCTCAGTGGAAGCAGTTGAGCAGGAGACAGTGACACAGTAGTATACTTGGTTTCCCATGCACAGATTAGGACACTAATCTCTCAGGGTTTGGCAATAGTCTTTAGAATGAGGACATGGATACAAAAATGGAAGAGAATTGAGGACAGTCCTCAGTGAGAGAGGGAGATGTCTTGTTTTTGCCAATGAGGGGAAGAGATCACCGCCAGTCACATGCGGGAGGTAGAGACGCAACATTGGGATACTTTGGCAGAAGGGAAAAAGGCAGTTTGGAAAGTGTGAGAAGAGAATGAGTGGATGAATGCAGGGAGGGGTTATCTGGGGAAAAGGACAGAAAGAAAAAGGGACAGGGCTGTCTTAAAACCATATGTGCAACAGCTAAGGCAGTATCTGGGTAATTAAGCTCTAAATAACACTGGAAATGTATACAAATTCAAATGTAAGCAAAATGGTCTCTTGATGCAGAAAACTCTTTGCATTGACCAAGTAAGCACTTTGGGTTCCAACATTCAAAGCACAAACCCTTTATGCTGTTTGTAAAACATCTTTCCACCACAATGTAATGTAAGACTGAAAGTTTCTTTAACTGTTGCTTAGGGTTTGACCACTCTTAGTTGTGGGGCAGCACCCAAGTTTGGATCTGACGAAGCCATTTGGGTGATTCAGTTATTTATATAAAAAAAATTATATACTAAAGATGTATTTGCTTGCATTTTGGATTTTCTATGAGAACATACAAAGACTGAAGTTTTGTTTAGTGTCCTGCTATTCCTGTCATTGTCTGCTGTTGTGAAGTTGCCTGTGATTCTCTTAGTTGTCTGGTCGGTCACAGAGTACAGATTTACCTAGTCATAATCTTGTCACTGAGAGACCTTACTCACCTGTATTGTCTCTGTATCTGGCATGTCAATCCTGATCAGATAAATGTGCATGAGTGCGTGAATGACTGTACAGTAGCAGGCTGATGCCCATCCGTCACTGGTTACTCCGTAGTATGTCCTGTGAAATTGTCCACAGCCTCTGTCCCCTGTAATTTGCTCTCGTCTTTTCCTATAGAGAAAGCAAGCAATAGCAGTTTTCATAGCAGTCAGCATCTTCAAGATGAGAGTGTATCGTAATGTGTCCTAATAGAGGCTATTGGTTGTAGTTGTATGTGTGATAGTGGTAGGACCTATTAGCTCAGTATGTTTTCATAGGCACTGAACAGTAAAAAAAAAAAAATATATATATTTTTTTTTAAACAGTATTTTTGTCTTATTTAACAGTAATCCTTGTAACATCCCTAAAAACGATAAATTTAATTCATTAAAAAAATTCTAAAAATATGGTTGTCTTTATAGAATATATCTTTGCGTTCCCATTAGCATTTTTTTTACTTGTTTTAAAATCTAATAAAATTAATTGAGGTTTATGCTTAAAAAAAACCTTTAGCTATACACTGCTGTTCAGAAGTTTCACCAAGGTGAAACCAAGGCTGCATTTATTTGATAAAAATACAGTAAAAACAGTAATATTATGAAATATAATTATTTTTAATGACTGTTTTCTAATTTAAAATGCAGTGTATTACTGTGACTGTAAACCATGAATTTTCAGCAGCCATTATTCCAGTCTTCAGTGTCACATGATCCTATTATTATTATTATTATTATTATTATTATTATTATTATCAATGTTAAAAACCATTATAAAAGATTCAAAAGAACTGAAGGAGAATAGAATATAAGGTTCAAAAGAACAGCATTTATTTGATTTTTTTGTTGTTGTAACAATTATGTCTTTAATTGTAGTCAATTTTGATCAATTTGATGCATCTTTGCCTTTTCATTCAGTATGTATTTCTTTCAGAACCCCCCCCCAAATCTTACGGATCATTTAACAGTAGTGTATGTGCCCTAAAAACAAGTCCTAATATCTAATGATTTTTTAAAAAGTATATTGATCTTGTTTTAGAGATGTTTAAATATTTACTGGAAAACATGACAAAGTACTGATGAAGAAAATGATTTTTTAAAGTGAATTGCTTTGGCTGAAGCATTTCCAGTTGATAGATCTATAAAATGTTTAAAGCGCTGTTTAGAACCATAGCCTACACAAGTGCTTGGCTTTTGTCCTGAGCTTAATCACTCTATATTGGCTTTAAAGTGTGTCAGAGTATGTGCCAATTTGAAGTAATTCTTCTGTCCTCAACCCGTCTGATCCCCTTTAGTGATGGACACCAAGGCAGTATTCACTGCCTTGTATGATGTGTGTGAAGAAAATGCCAACTTCTTCTCTGGGGCCACAAAGGGCCAAGCCGGGGACGCAGCCCAGCGCCTTGTGGATGCCATGACCACCATCCAGGAGCATGCCCGGAGCCTGGAGCCTGTCATCTCTGGATTCGCTGCCATCTACCACCATTTTGACTTTGATCCTCATATTCCCGCCAATGGATATCGCTCCCTTGTTAAGGTGCGTTTCTGACTGTGCAAGAGAAGTTGTTTGTGTGTTTCCTCCCTTTTTTCCTCCCTGCTAAAAATAGCTGCTCCCAGTGCATCATTTTGAACAGTTAGTCATCACAGTTAGCTGGTTTACAAACCCTGCAGTTGTTAAAGGAATAGTTCACCCAAAAACTAAAATTTGCTGAAAATGTACTCGTCCTCAGGTCATCAAAGATGAAGATGTAGAGTTTGTTTCTTCATCAGAACAGGTTTGAAGAGATTTAGCATTACATCACTTGCTCACCAATGGATCCTCTACAGTGAATGGGTGCGGTCAGAATGTAAGTACAAACAGCTGGTAAAAACAAAGCAATAATCCACACGACTCCAGTCCCATTAATTAAACCTTGTAAATGTGAAAAGCTGCATGTTTGTATGAAACAAATCCATCATCAGAGTGTTTTGCTTCATAAGATATTAATTGATGCACTGGAGTTGAGTGAATTACATATGGATTATTGTGATGTTTTTAAAGCAAGTGATGTAATGCTAAATTGCTCTAAATCTATTCTGAAGAAGAAACAAACCCCTCTATATCTTGGATGGCTTTGGGGTGAGTCAGCACAGTTTCTTTTTTGGGTGAATTGTTCCTTTAAGCTAATTTCTGCTGAAGGCATGTGTCCTTGTCCTTCCCCTCTTTTCCTTTCAATGTTTCTCTCAACAAGTCGTTTTTACATTGCTCTTTCTCTCTCCTGCATGATGCATGTGCTTATGTTTTCCTGCATACATCTCCCTTCAGACCTCATTTCACTCTTTGTCATCCTCTTCTTCAGGTGGTGCGCTGTTGCCTCCTCCACATCATCCACAAAGGGCGCTATATCACATCCAACAGGCGAAGCATCTTTTTCCGTGCAAGCCATAATGCAGCAGAGATGGAGGCGTACTGTAGCGCTCTGTGTCAGCTCAGGGCGCTGCTCTATCTGGCTCAGAGACTGCTTCATGACAACAGCCACGGCAACCTTTTCTTCCAGGAGGAAAGTGGCCTCAGTCAGAGCTTCCTGAGAGAATACGCCTCCATGCACAAGGGATGCTTCTATGGCCGCTGTGTTGGATTTCAGGTGTGTTTGTTAATGAGCCCATGTGGCTCTCAAGATTATCACATTTCTACACTTAGTGGATTCAAAAGGTAATTAAAGGAATAGTTCACCCAAAAATGGAAATTACCCCATGATTTACTTTTTATGATGGATGGATGCACTTTTTTGGGCTTCAAAATCTCGACCACCATTCACTGCCATTATAAAGCTTGGAAGAGCCAGGACATTTTTTAATATAACTCCGATTGTATTCGTCTGAATGAGAAACTCACATACACCTAGGATGGCTTGAGGGTGAGTAAATCATGGGGTAATTTTCATTTTTGAGTGAACTATCCCTTTAAGGAGTTTTCTCATACATGTTTTTATAATATTACAAGATAGTAACGAACGGCAATGTACATTTTAATATATATATTATAAACATACATATACATACTGCCGGATAAAAGTTTATAATAATTATAATGTTTTTTTAATGTCTTTGAAAGTTTCTTATGCTCACCAAGGCTGCAGTTATTTGATAAAAAAATACAGTAAAAACAGTAATATTGTGAAATATTATTACAATTTAAAATTATTGTGTTCTGTTTAAATAGATTTTAAAATATAATTTATTCCTGTGATACAAAGCTGATGTTTTTTTTTAGCAGCAATTAAGAATTATTTACAAACATGAGCACCAAATCAGCATTTTAGAATGAAGGCTCATGTGACACTGAAGACTGGAGTAATGGCTGTTGAAAATTCAGCTTTGCCATCACAGGAATAATTTACATTTTAGAATGAATAAACATAGAAAACAAATTTAAACCGTAATATTTCACAGCATTATTAATGTTTTTACTGTTAACTTATTTCTGCCATATTTTCTTATGTTCTAAGGTGAAAATTACCCACCTGAATATCTTGTTCTCCTTCCTTTCTAGTTTACTCCTGCAATCCGTCCATGCCTGCAGTCAATTGCTATTAGTCTGGTTGCCTTCGGAGACAACTACAAGAAGCATCAGTCAGGGATAGGTCAGTATAGCTGTCATGTTCAGTGTGCACTGATAAAGATAATTTTTTTTATATGCCTCTTGATTTATGCGATCAGGTCACTGTTTCACACTTCATTATCTTTGCGAGCGTCTGCACAGCTGGATTTCCTCTAGTGTTAATTTAAGACACAAAAGTGCAGTTGTATACACTCTGACCCGCAGAGGCATTCTAATATTGTCTCTTGTGCTCAATGCTGCACCCTAGTGGAGGCAGGAGATATTGCTCCATATGGTGAGTAGCTCTCACAGAAGGCGGTATGGATGAGAGAAATCTGTGTCCTTCCCAAACCTGTCATCCATTCTGCTGGTAGATTACCCTGTTTCCTCTAGAGAGATGGTCAGTTCTTGTTCCTACTAGGGGTGGGAATCTTTAGGCACCTCACAATCTGATTTCAATTCTGGAAATCATGATCTGATTCAAAAACGATTCTTGATCTACATTTTTTTTTCTTAGTAATGAATGAGTTTACCAACTCTGAATATTAAATTGATTTGTTTATTTTTATTTCATTTCTTATATAAGTTTTTTTTTAAATAATTACAAATTAATAATAAATTAAGAAATTGTGTGTGAAGAATTATTAACTAACTACAGCTTCAAAACATACAAGCAAATATAAAGTAATAAAAAGCAACAAAGAAACACATTACAAGCAATAAACAAAAAGTGCCTTCAGTGTCTGAGAGTGCTTTTATTATTGCTGTTTGATTATTACTGATGACAGACAGCATGTTTAATAGGCTGCATTCACACTAATGCACAGATCTGTTTTAACATATCAAATGCTTTGTCGTGTCCTTTAATCGTGACTGTGTTTACATTAATTTAGCATCATAAAAGATGAAAGTGCATTTAACTGCTTACACAGAGTCTTGCACAGCTGCATGTACAAGAGCTATTCAGAATGGACACACACACAAAGTGCACATGAACATTTGAAAGCAGCTGTCTGTCAGTAAGTGAGTTTTGTATATATACTGCATTCAAAATGGCATAAATTATGCATTTGTAGAACTTTTGGAGGAGGAAAAAAACACTGAAATACCGTATCTCTCTAGTGCACATGAGTGCCATTGAACATATGTAGGAAAAAAACTAAAGAGCATCTGTTCTGAAGTTTTTAGAAGCGATTCAGAATTGCGATGCATCAGATAATTTTTTCTGCTTCACACCCCTAGTTCATATGCTGAATTTTACCATGAGAACAGAAAAAAAACAAGACTGGTTACAGATCAGTTTTTAGTTTGTTTGTTTTAGTGAGTTTGTTTCAGCTTATTTTTGTTTGTTTGTTTATTGTCTGTTGACATTTGTAAATATTAAACTAATTGCTCATGCTTGTCTGTTAACTAGGTGATGCAATTTCCAGGTGGTTATCTGTGTGTTTCTGTTGATTGGGAACCCACTTTCATGTCTTACTGCTCTGTTTTACTCTCTAAGTATGATGCCCTGGTGTGATATGCCAGTTACTGTATGTAGACAGCCATTCATCTAACTGTCTGTTTGTCTGTGTTTCTCTCAGGTGTAGCAGCAAGTTCTTTCCTGACCTCTGGGAAGTATGCCATTGACCCTGAACTGAGAGGTCAGGAGTATGAACGCATCACTCAGAACCTGGATGTTCATTTTTGGAAGACATTCTGGAACGTAACGGAGACTGAATTTCTATCAGTTAGTATTAACCATCCTGCCAGTTTTAGCTATGGCAGCACAGTTATTTGAAAGAAAATCGATTTGAAATATGACCTTCCGTTTTAAGAATAGTGCAAGGTCACATCTCAAAACATCTAAAAAAAAAAAAAAAACGCATGAAAGTGAAGAAATTATGCCAGAAACATATTATCACTGAAATAATTTTTATTATATCATAAATCATATCATGGTATGGTATGGTATGGTATAGTATAGTAGATTAGATTAGAATATAGTATATTGTAATATATTAGATTAGATTAAATTAGATTAGATTCTTTGATTTAACTGGGATTAGAAAAAACTATGAATGAAAATTGAGCTGAGACTAGGATACTAAATGAACACCAGACACCTGCCAAATGTGAAAAACCCTGACAAAATTAAGTAAGGCTGGTTTAATAAAAAAACAAAATGGCCACTGTGGTGGACAAAATAAGTTATTTTCCACCTTAGTAGAAAAAAATTCTACTTTTAAATTTAGGCCCAGTGTGGGTTCGATTAGAACTGGCTTTATTTTTTACTCGGTTCACGTTTGGTTCAACTGAGAAGTTTTTATTTTTTTTATTTTTTTTACATTTCTAAAGTTTGAACACATTTAAAGAGTTCTGAAATATTGCAGCTCAAATTGCAATGAAAATATTTGTCAGAATAATCCCCAAATTAATTGTTTTGCCTTACTTTCAGTACTCAACACTCAGATCAGACATCAGAATTGTTAAAAGCAATTCCCTTGAGTAATAAAACGTCTGACATACAGTTACTCCTTGCACTAGTGTTTTTTTAGTATAATTGACCATCTTTTGCTACAGCTGGTCAGATTGCACACTGAGCACTTATAACCTGTCCAAGTTCTCATATTGCAAAGTTCAATTCACATAGTAATGAAACTGAAATTAATCTGTGCTCTATTTCATCTCTCTCTATCTCTCTCAAGAGTCTGGTGTCTATGACAGCCACACAAGTGAAGGTGAATCGAGCTCTTTCTGTTCCCCCCCTGCCCTTTGACCTGCCATTGGTGACAGATCCCACCCACATGGTGACTGTGTCTCCTCCTGCAGCTCATATTGGCCCGGGGCCTGTGCATATGAGATTGATCTCATATGAGCTGAGAGAAGGACAGGTACAGCAGTTCACACTGATGTCATTGACGGTCTTAATTAGTCTTGAATCATAATTGTCTCTCGCTTACGTCTCTTCTTCCTTCTCCTCCTCCACCTCACAGAAGCTCAAGCATTAACTTTTCATTTTCATAATTTGAATTCTCTGTTCTTCAAAGAGAGTCAATTTTCCACTCTACATGCTCTTATCTTGTCAATAAATAAATAAATAAATATGCACAGATACCAAGGAATGAATAAAAGCACTGCCAGTCGTAATGAGGTGTGCTTAGCTAAATAAAGTGGTTGAGCTTGACTCTTTCTCCTTTTATCCTTTACTTAAAGCCCTTTAATTCCCGATATACCTCTTGGTGTCATGGGAGGACTTGAATTGGTTGCAGTATAGATGACTTGGTGTAATGGTGCTTAAAAAAGCCTATTTGACTTTGCTTAAGACCCTTTGAACTCCTATTGATCCAGCTGTAGCGTAAATGTGTTTAAGAACCACACGTCCGTAGCGTTTAATTACTCGTCTCTTGTCTAAATGAGAGCTTTTGCCTTTGTGTGGGGCATAGAGCTTCAAAGAGATTCTAAATAAGGATTGTTCAGGAAGCTGTGTTGTAATGAAATAATCTTTTAAAATTTGTATTATGTTGCTCTCCATTGTTATGGTGCTTATAGTCCATTTATGTCTTCAGGACAGTGAGAAATTACTAGCACTGTGTCGCTCAGAGGGGGGCCCGATATCTCTTTCTTTGGGCCTGAAGACGAAGCGCAGTCCTCCTTCCCCATGGCTGGTGTTGCACTTCCACGGAGGAGGCTTTGTGGCACAGACTTCCAAATCACACGAGGTATCTTTTTGTCTCTTTCTCCTTATACTTCCTATACACACCCTTTCCGTCCTACCGTGAATAATGCAGACCAGTTACTTTTGCTCCTGATGAAAAAAAGATAGAATTGTAGACTTATTTTAATTATTTCCTAGACTTATCTAGGAACCAGAATATCTTGGAGGTGGGAATACATAACAGTGAAAACAGTGTAACACACATAATTGCTATTTAATATGTAATTAAAAAAAATAATTAAGACCGTCCCACAGTTGTTTACTAATGTGATATCAGTGTCAGTACCTGGTATGAAATTATACCAGTAATATATGTGACCCTGGACCACAAAAGCAGTCATAAGGGTACATTTTTTGAAATTGAGATTTATACATCATCTAAATAAATAAGCTTTCCATTGATGTATGGTTTGTTAGGATAGGACAATATTTGGCCGAGATACAACTATTTGAAAATCTGGAATCTGAGGGTGCAAAAAAATCTAAATATTAAGAAAATTGCCTTTAAAATTGTCCAAATGAAGTTCTTAGCAATGCATATTACTAATCAAAAATTAAGTTTTTATATATTTATGGTAGGAAATGTACTAAATATATTCATGGAACATGATCTTTACTTAATGTCCTAATGATTTTTGGCATTAAAGAAAAATGTATAATTTTGACCCATACAATGTATTTTTGGCTATTGCTACAAATATACCCCAGCGACTTAAGACTGGTTTTGTGGTCCAGGGTCACATATGTAGAAAAATCAAGATAATGAATTCTTCTATGATTCATATTTGTCCACTGTTGGTCATTATTAGAGGACAATTAAAATGTGCTTTAATGAGAGGTTATTTTCTGAACATCCACAGAGACAAAAGTACCCATAGTTGAAGAAACACCAAGATACTACAGTATATAGAGCTTCTCTTAACCCTTAGATTCATCTTATCCTTGTGACTTGAGTTGCGCATGGCATCATTTCTTTGAATTTTGAATACTTTAGACATTAACTGCAGTCACCCAGGATCCCACCTCTATGTCTGAACATTCATTCAGTGGTTTTAAATAGTGCCTCTTCTGTTGAGTATTATGCAGAGCAGCTTCTTGGCAAGCGGAGTAAGATATTGGTCATTTGCGTTCAATTGTGTCCAGTGTCTTGTGCAAAGTATGAGACTGCTCTGTTAAAGTATCATATTATCACCGCTCTCATGCAAAATTCACCTTCACATCACAAACACTCACCAGCCTGCGTTCTCGACACAATGCATTAGCTGCTTGAGCGAACGCCACTCAACAATGGACACATTGATATGAGATGTAACTGGCAGTCAGAGCAACATCTTGTGACTCCTGTCAGCACACATCATGTCTTTAAACTACAAAACAAAACTGAGAGAGGGAGACAAAATGGTAGAGACTGAAATATCTGAGAAGAAATATTCACATTCCGAAGTGTTTTCTCTTACGTAAATGCATGATGAGGTGCCGTCAGGCGTGTATTCAGGGTGACAGAAGCTACTTGAAGTGAACATTTAGTGTTGAGGACCATAATTCAGGCTCTTTGCAGCAGTGCAGTCACACTGAAACCACTGTCTTAAAGCTGCCTTAAAGATGTCAGGATTCAGAGGGGGATTAGGGGTGTGAGCTGGGAAAGCAGTTCAGGATTTGAAAATGTGGATCTTTGCCATCAGTCAGCAAAATGCTAGAACTACTTCATTGACACACCTGTGAAATAAAGCCATAATTTAAAGTCATTAGATGTACTACATTTGAGGAAAAACTTACTTCTCAACCACTAATAAATTACGCTATAGAAATATGCACGATGTGTAATATAAATTAAATTTGGACAAACTTCATCCGTAATTGTATTGCTTTTTGCATACTGTATAGTAGGTAGGTAGCCATATTCAGACTCGGAAGAAAAAAGTATGGTATTATTGAGGATTAGGACCCATCAGATGAGAGATTAAATTACGGTAAAACAGGCAATTAAATGCTAAACATTAAAGTCAGGAAATTGCGACCAATTTGTCTTCCTTATTGTGACTAGAAAAATGAAGGGCAGGACTTGATTTTTGTTCATAAGGAATTGGTTGGATCTTAGAAAGTGGGAGTTGCAAACTAAATGGAAGCAGATCTGAATGCAGGTTTGCAGTTAGTTGTCGAGTGAGAGGTTGCTGGAGGGGAGGGAATGAAACCAAACGAATACCACATGCTCTATAAAGTAAGAAAAACAAAGGGAAGATGGAACTAAACCTGGAAATCCTGGTATGGATTTTCTGCAATATCTAGGAATTCTAAACCCTAAAAATGAAGCAATTTTAGTTCTTCATTTGTGTGTGTGTCTCTCTCTCTCTCCCTCCAGCCATATCTGAGGAGCTGGTCCCAAGACCTGAATGCCCCCGTCCTTTCGGTGGACTATTCTCTGGCCCCCGAGGCCCCGTTTCCTCGGGCTTTGGAGGAATGTTTCTATGCCTACTGCTGGGCCATCAAGAACCACAACCTGCTAGGTGAGAGGAATAGTTATGCTTCCTAATCCCTTGATATCAGTGATTTCATATGTGTTCTTAAAGTTGCTATGAAACGAAAGTAACAACAGGTATTTTCTTCCACATTGTGATGTACATCAGAGTGTAACTGCTTATTGAAAAAGAAAAAATATTGGGTGGGCACTAGGTTCTGTTGGATTTTGAGATGCGGATATTGCACTCAATAGTGGAGGCAGATGAATGTGAATTTGCAGGGGTTTAAGCAGACTAAATTATTGGAGAAGTCTGGCATACGTTAACAGAAAAGAAGTCTTGTCGTTTTCACTGGAAGGTCCGGTTATGACATTTTGATTAAATATTGTGAGGAAAAAATAGGGTGAATTTCCATTTCATGCTGATTTTAAGCTTTTATGCCTTTATACACTTTATGCTTTTAGGACGTTATGCTTTATACAGTATGCACTAACCCTTGTTCACTTTCAGTGGGAATTGGCAGCACTCGTCAACCCTTTTTTTTTTGTGCAAGAATCTTGCCGCTTTGTCATGCAGGACTGCTGTCTTTTTTGAGGTTGACATTCACCCATTGGAGGTGACAAAACCTGCACACACAAAAAAAGGTTCCCTCCAGAATGCCAGATCACATTTTATGGAGAAATATTTTATTTTATGGATTTGATTTTGTTAGTTCTATTATCACTTTAATGAAACACGGAATGCAATATTTACAGTAATTGCATCATCCATCTCCCAGACTACTTCTTAAATTATTAATTCTATTTTTTCGACATTGTGTCATTCAGTCATTTGATTAGTCCTTAAGAAAGCTGATTAAGGTACAAGACAAGTGAAATCAGTTGATTTGATGATCTGTCATACTGTTGTGCTGTGCTGGTGTCGAGATCCCACAGGGAACATAGACGCCTATTAAAACTCCGCTCACACTCGGCCTGACTACAGCAGCGTAAACATATTCATCATTCAGTGTTCTCTCACCTCTGCTATCTATCTCAGGATCATGACACAGATCACGCGCTGCTAATAATTCTCTTTGGGTGTCTTTGGTGTGAAAACCATGCCAGAGTGCCTCAGATCAGTGCAAAAAAATGTAACCTCATTTGAAGTTGAAAATTATAGAGTGTATTTATCTTCTTGATTCTCACTAATTTTTTATTTGATCTATTGCACACTTAATTTTCTGGTCCGCTCCTTCCTAAATCTCTTCTGTTGGTCTTTCTCCTCCTCAGGTTGGACCGGTGAGCGTGTGTGTTTGGCCGGTGACAGCGCAGGAGGAAACCTGTGTGTGACCGTGTCGATGCGGGCCGCTGCTCACGGTGTGCGCATGCCGGATGGCATCGTCGCCGCATACCCCGCCACCCTGCTCACCGTGTACGCTTCGCCATCCCGCCTGCTCTCCCTTATGGACCCTCTGTTGCCCCTCAGTGTGCTCGCACGCTGCCTCAGCGCTTACGCAGGTCAGTCTGGAGCCGTAATAGGATTTTATGACAAATAGTGTTGTGTTGGGACTCAGGATATTAGCAAGTTGGAACGGTCAGGTCCAGTGTGTAATTTATCGCTGGTAAAAGTTTAGCATATTCGTAATTTAGGGAGTGTAGACACCTTAATGATGATGAGTGATTTCAACAAGTAAAGTTAAGTGAAGGCACACATGTCAGGAATAGATTAATAGGTTTGTATTTTATTATAAATGATTCGATTAGTAGTGTTTTCAATCATAGTAATGGTGAAGTCAAATCGGTGGCCCACAGCTTGTATTTTCTTTCCTCTGCAGGTGAGCTAATGCAATGTTGTCTTTGTGTTATAGCAGTACTGGATATTTAAAATCTTCTGTTCTGATACTTTCTCAGAGAACAGTGCAGCAAATTAAGTTAAAATGCTTCTATGTTGCATTTTTATCATATTCTATCATATTTTTTTATCATATTTTATCTTGTGCTCTGCTGAAAATCCTTGACCTAATTTGGTGTTCCATGTTAAAAAATGACCAGCTTTTAAAAAATGGCTTAATCTCTCATTATGCTGTATTATCACCAAGTTTGGATTTAATCTTTTTGTCATCTTGTTTTTATTTTTTGTATAGCACAGGTTTTGTATTTCTTTTGTATTCACTCAAAAACTGAAGTTCATTAACTCAGATCAGTGGGGCCTACAATCAATCATTTCCAAAAATAAATGCAAAACCTGTGCTCATTGAAAGAAAACAAGTTGATGAAAAGATTGAAACAAATATTTGGTAATAATATAGCATAACCAGGAATTTTGTAGGCTGGTGATTTTGTGACACAAGTTCCCAAATAAATCCCAAAAAATTACCAATAATTATATTATTATTACAAAAATGATCAAACATTTTTTGGAAAGTTGTTATACCCTGTTTGAGCAAAGTCTGTACAATGCGGCAACATTAACTAGCATTTTCTGGAAAAATTAATTAATCTCCGGGTCAAAATAACTGAAATACAACATGAGGGATAATATGTATTTTTTGAGATTGTAAAATCAGAATATCTTAGCTTTTGGTTTCTTGCCTTTTTGCTTTAATGGCAGCTCTACAAGTTTTTTGTACAAATTCATTCATATGCATGTCTCAAATTTGCTGATTTCACTAATGACCTAGAAATAAAGAAGAATTTCTTGCCATTTTACATCATTGTATTATTTTGTAAAAAATGTTTTGCTTGTTTTAAAAAGGTTTTATTTTGTTTAAAAAAAAAATTACTTTTGAGATTAAAATTTTTAACTTGTTTTTATTAATTTATTGTATTTGTTTTTTTTTATTAATGTAAAAATATTTTTTAGTTAATTTTATTTGATTCCCAGACTTTCAATTTGGATTTTGTTTTGACCCCTACTTTGTTATTTGCTTTTCCCCTTTGTCCTTCTCTGCTGTGTGCAGGCACAGATCCACAGGTGGAGAAGCAGGTGGAGAAGGTGAGCACTTTCAGCATGGTGAGGAGAGATACTGCTCTGCTGCTCCGAGACTTCAAACAGGGGGCTTCCAACTGGATCCATGCACTGCTGGACAGAGGGAGTGCAGGTACCTGTATATGAGAGAGACATATTGTATATTCTAACTCACCATGCTGAGTGTCTAAATTACATTTATCAATATGTCTTTTTATGATTATAATCCCTCCACACACTGATGATGATGCCTTTGTAATAGTGCAGCTGGCTAATTATTTGATCTGTTTTAATTAGGTTTAAATTAACGCATACGAAGCCCTCGTAGCGCTCTTCTTTGCTTCATTTAATTGGCTCCATGGTGATAATTGCCATTTGTTCAGAGCTATATGTGGTAGCTTCTCTAACTCACTCTCCAGCTTGTGTTGCGTGACCCACAGATAGTGTTGTGGAAAGTGGTTCTTCTGAGCATGTGCAGACTGAATGCTCCTGAATGGAGGCCCCAGTTCAGTCTGCATCCGTCATTTAAGCAGGCTGATGAATCATACCTGGAAGTCTAATATATGGACATTGGGGAATTGCCTATGGTGCCACAACCCCATGAAATTTTGATTGCGATTTTGATTGCATAGTCGCTCAGCTGAACTGAAAATCTGATAATAACCATCTCAAACAAAGCTCTTTGCAATGGCTTCACATACTCTGTTGTGCCGAATGCCCGTCGGTTTAATTCAATGGTTTAAATGGACTACTATCAACCCCAGATCTCATGTAATTTGAGTTTATTAACTCAATACAGTGTGTCTAAAAGGCATAATTAGTGTGGTGGTGTCACACGACACAAAGCATTCTGATTGCCTCATGATGGCCATGAATTCATTATTCACTATACTAACATTGCTGAGAATAGTTTTTCACAAGATTATTTGCTATGAGCAATACAGCTGTGTTGTAGCTGCTATGTCTGTCAGTCGTATGAGTTTATGTCTCTTTGTATGGTAGTTTAAGGGGTCCTAATATTTTACTGAGTGTCTGTTTAATGCCACACACACACTTCACATCAGCCAGTCACATGCCTTACCTCTCCCTGGCAACTGTTTCCTCGCCAACAGCCTCCACCAATGTCTGTGTGAGGGTCTTTGTAAACCCCCACCCCTTGTGCTTAAAATTCCTACCCTGTGCCCATTTGTACTCCTTTTACACAGTTACTTACTTTCTCATTTAGCTTTTTTGCATATTTGCATTAAGAAATGTTTATGATCTCTGTATGAGATTTTTATAAGGAATTTCCTTTCTTCTGAACTTGCTTTGGGAATTCAGAATTACCTTAGTTTCGTGGTTTTGTTTTTCTGCCTTCACATTTTGGGCCTGTTAATATCTCATGTAGACATTTATCTAACTAAACAATAACACGAGAGCATCATTAGTCAATATATGTGATTATAAAACATCTATATATCCAGAATGACCTTGAAATGACATCTTTTGTTAAAATAACTACTAAAAATGACATAAATATTTACTCTTCCCCTTTTACCTTTTAGACTCTGTAAGAAAGAGCGTTTCAGAAGTGTCTCTGACCTCTCCTCATGCAGACCCTCCGGTGTCTGGCAAGGCGTCTGAATACTCCCTTGAGAAAGGGTCTCTGAAGAGCCAGACGTGCCAGGACTTGGGCACGCACACTAACAGCGGTGCCAGCAACGTACAGAAAAATGCCAGCCAGACTGCCAACCACCTTAGCACCACCACAGTCAAACACAACTCCATCCTTGACATCACACTGACACCCGAGAGCAAGGTACAGCTCCTCATTTAGTGCTTTAGAAGGGTTTAATCAAATTCAACGCTCCCGTGGTGTCGAAGTTCTCTCTTTTACAGATTGCAACAGTGAGTCATTTTAATCAACAGGCTGATTTGCATTCTACTAGGATGCCAATCTCTGCTACACAGCATCCATCAGGCTGTTTTTTATGGCTTTATGAGTGTGTGAAACATATGCCAATATTTGCGCTGATTAATTTGCTATCTAGAGTGAGAATGACCTAGCCTTCAACAGTTTAACAGTGTTGCTTAAATCATAGTCAAACATAAGATTTAAATAACAGACAGTCCCATTGTTAGTAAGAATCTGGTATGTTTGCTGGAGTGCAGCACAGATGTTCATAAAGAGTATCAAATTGCCATTGGTGGCAGAAAAACAGGAGTTTGTTATGCCATAATTAGCATTAGAGTCAGGCTGTCTAATACACAGAATTAACTGGCCTCTTAAAACGGGCTGATTTTAATAGCTTGCAGTAAATTGTTGTTCTGGTTATTTCAGTCCGGCACACTGTGCAAATATATCACTTGGGTTTTTTTTGTCTAGTTGTGCAACTCTGATAAAGTGCAGAGGATTATGCTGCAGTGATGTCACTTTGCATGCCATTGTTCAAGTATGTGTTAAAATCCCGCAGAGAATCCCATGATATGATGACGTCCGATGGGTGAATAATTGCAGGATTTGAAATGCTAATTTTTGCTGCTTGGTTCAAATGAATCATCTCAGCCTTTCCTGAACCCATTCCTCCCTTCTTCCACATTCCTTACTAATATGCACTGTCCTATATAACAAATGCAATAACTAAAAAAGTTTTTTTTTCTTACATAAATGTATATAGAAATTTTAATAAATATATATGTGAATTTATATATGATTTATATTATACATGTATTTATAATTATACAGCTAATATACCATACGTTTTTTTTTTAAATAAATTAATATTTTTAATACAGCAAGAAAGCATTATTAAGTGATAAAGTAAAATACATTTTATAATGTTACAAAATATTTATATTTAAAATAAATTGTTGAACCTTATATTGATCAAAGAATCCCGAAAAAAAATTATCACTGTTTCCACAAAAAGCTGTTTTTAACATTGCTAATAATAAGAATTTGAGCAGCAAATCAGCATATTATAACTGTTTATGAAGGACCATATGATGCTGAAGACTAGAGTAATGGCTGCTGATAATTCAGCTTTGACAGGAATACATTTCCTAATAATAATTTTAATATAAAATATTTAATATAATATAATTAAAATAGAAAACTGTTGTTTAAGCCTATAAATGGTGGCGTAAATAATCAATTAAAAAAAATAATCTGTCGTTGATCCAACCTTATCACCTCAGGTTAATATCTTATTGACCTTCATTTACTTCCACCTCTCTCCTAGCCCGAGGATGTGAGTTTCTTCCTCTGCAAAGATGTAGATCCCTCAGTATCAGAATCCTTTTCATCTGTGGCCATTCCGCCCCCTGTTGGTGAGGAGGACTCTGAGAAACCCCGGGAGTTTCCAGAGGGCTTTGAGCCTCTGCGGTCAGAGCAATTAGCAGAGATGAACATGCAGAGTTCTCCCATTGTCAGAAACCCCTACATGTCCCCCCTTCTGGCTCCAGACAGCATGCTAAGGGGACTACCTCCCATACACATAGTGGTAAGTGTGACCAAAGTCTTTTACAATTGATGAATTTAAGATGTGGTGGAATAATTTTCAGGAAGAGAAACTGATTTCCAGTGGTGTATAAAGCCATACTCAAGTAAAAGTACAGATATCTTACCAGAAAATGACTTTGGTAGAAGTTGAAGTCACCGTTTAGAATATTACTTGAGAAAAAGTCTTAAAGTATGTGATATTTATTGTACTTAAGTATGAAAAGTATTTTTTAAATCTTAAACGTACTAAAGTATTGAAAGTGAAAGTAAAAGTACAAGTACAAGTAAATGCAAAATGGAAAAGAAGCAAATAAATATATATAAAAATGTTCATACACAGCTTGAGTAGCAAGATTGTGTTCAGTTTTAACACTTTCTTCCGTTTTGTATTTTTGGGTAAAAAACTGAAGCACTTCATCATTCCAACATAAGAAAACATTACTGGAATCTGCATCTTAAATAGCATTTAGATGTATTTACACAGTTTATGTATCTCAGAGGGGACATGGATGCATTTAAACTGCAGTTACAAATGCATAAATAGGCCTAATGTTTTGTTTTTAACATAAAACGTTGAATACTGATATTTGAAATCATTTAAAACTTGAAAAAAAATAGACGAAATGTGAAATTGAAACCGCCAGTAGGTGGCAGCAAGTGACTGTTAATGAGTGAGTCACTGAGATTCAACCGATTCATTCAAACGGCTGATTCATTCAGGAACAAAGCATTTGACTGTTTTAATGAATGAATCACTGAATCAATTATTTAACCAATTTGTTCAAAAAGCTGATTCATTCAATAAGTAAACACTGTACATTGCTCAGAGACGCAAAACAGTGCTGTGATCTGGAACTATTTTTGTTAGCAAAATTGAGCAAAAACAAGAAATATTATGTCTAAAATGTAAGTCACTTATTGCTTTACTGAACTTGAATAAAATTATTATTAAATGTGTTCATGCTGATATCTGCAGAAAAACGGTACTCTTTGTGTGATATAGATTAAGTTAACTATATTAAATTATATAAATATAAAAAGCATACAGAAGCATTTTTGCCGTCTACAATTTAGAATACCTTGAATTTTGAGTTTTAATAGACTAATAAATCAATGTGCTTGCACAGATCACACATCATTACAACAACACTTACTATATTATCGCAGACAATGCTGTATCGCACACCCCAGACTCGACTTGAGTGGAAAATGAATCATTCGTTTTAGAATACCTTGAATTTTGAGTTTTAATAGACTAATAAATCAATGTGCTTGCACAGATCACACATCATTACAACAACACTTACTATATTATCGCAGACAATGCTGTATCGCACACCCCAGACTCGACTTGAGTGGAAAATGAATCATTCGTGGTTGTGCGTGCACTTGTTTGCACATGAGCAAAGGTGTTTTTAGGAGTCTAACTTGCAATCGCCAGACAACTGATTCGTCAAACCTGCTTTCCTGCAGTCCATGTTCTTCTTACTTCTGACTATTTTATAGTAAGTAACGAATATGCTTTGGGGAAATGTATCGGAGTAACAGTATACATTTTAATTAGGAAATGTAGTGGAGTAAAAGTAAAAGTTGGCAGAAATATAAAAACTCAAGTACAGATACTCCCAAAAAATATTATTATAAATTAATAAATTAATAATTATAAATAAATATTAAGTATTATTACTTCGTTACATTACACCACTGCTGATTTCAAATGTTTTCATTCACGTCATAAACTCTTATTTTGTCTGTCTTGTGTCTGAGACTCTTTTTTTTGCCATCTGTCTCATCCCTCTTTTTTCAGGCCTGTCATCTGGACCCCATGCTGGACGACTCTGTGATGTTTGCCAAAAGGCTGCGAAATGTCGGTCAGCCAGTGACCCTATGTGTCGTGGATGACCTTCCTCATGGCTTCCTTAGTCTGTCACAGCTCTCGAGGGAGACTCGGGAAGCTGCTAACGTATGCATGGAGCGAATCAGGGATGTCTTCACCATGAAAGACCCTCCCCCAGAGCTGCGCAAGCACCGCAAACTGGAACGGACCAACCAGAAGCCTGCTACCAAAAGAGACCACACTCCGCTTTTGAAAGAGGCCGTGCAGAAGGAGGAGGGGTTATTTGTTATAGGAGGGGCTCCTGTTGTGAATGAGGAGGGGCTTGCTGATTTTTACCCTCCCACTAAATCTGAAGCTGAAAAGATTCCAGCTTAGATTTGGGCCTGGTTCCGTTCTGAATGATACCAAAAGAGATACATATGGGTTGGAGTAAGGTCATATTATTTGAATAACGCCGTTATTATAGTGGATAAGAGTCTAGAGAGACAAATAAAGGAATTAACCAACTATTAAATGAAAACTTATGAAAAGACACTAAGTATTTAGTTTAAAGTTCAAATTAGAGCACCTCAAGCTTTATTACTCAAATGTGGTTGCATACACATGCACTCCCTTTACATATTTACCACCTTGCCTTTTGTTGCATTATACCAGCACAAAAACTAATATCCTGCCTTGTACAGAAACATCCCAGCACATAATCGTCATTGAAAGACATTACAAATGGATGTATAAACCCAAACCTCACTCCTTATAGCACTAACTGTTCTTATATGTTAATGAAATCGGTCTACAAACTGTGATTTAATATAATACCTGTGTGCTACAATTTAAACTCCGTAGAATGCATTGCTGCTAGGCATACTGGGGCTAACTGACAAAAGTATAAAAAAAGCATAAAAGCTAACATTAATGGTTGAATTTTTTCTTTATAGTAGCTTTTGAATTATTTATGACACTGAATTATAATAGGTTGTTACTGTGTATGTTAATCACCCTTTATTAATCTACCTGCCTCTTGGCTCCTAGAGGATGTCCTGTGTGGGTAGCACTTGAATGGGATTTCTGATGCTGCTTTGTCCTCATAGAGTTCAATGATTATTAAATGCAATTAATCATGATCAGATTTCCACAAGTGTTCTGTGGAAGGAAAGCTCAAGTTACACAAAACACGACACCGGATTTGTGATATAGTGTTACTTGTGTTGTATGGTGTCCAGTCTTGTTATACTCAAGATAGAATATTAGTCAAATAGTTTTTGAATTTTCAATTACGTTATCTTCATAATGGCCTTAGAGAATTGTTTATTTTTCTGTAAATGTTTACTTAAAAGTGCTAGTTCACCCAAAAATGAACATTGTCATAATTTTTTCACCCTCACGTCATTTAAAATCTGTATGACTGTTTCTTGAAGAACATTTCAGCTATTTTTTCCCAAACAGTGAAAACCAGTGGGGTGCAAAGAAAACCAACATGGAACCACATTGATTTTTATTGTATGGGCAAAAACACAAAACGAATGACAATGATAATGCCAGAATTTTCATTATTTGGATGAGTTTCCCTTGTCTCAAGTGGCGTTGAAGTGGCATAATTTGATTTGTTTATTATAATCATACTATAATTAAATGTATCTGTTAGATTAGATTACTTGTCAAAAAGACAAGAATATTTATATATATATATATATATATATATATATATATATATATATATATATATATATATATACATACTGATTTGAAAACTGGACAAGAGCTTAGAGGGGGAAGAAAACATGGGCTATACCTCTATCACCACCTTTCCCTCTTGGTCGTTCTCTGACATGTCAACGCAAGCTTCCGTTATTTTTCCATATCCCTTGTTTCTTCAGTCAGTTTGTTTCCCTCTGTTAACAATCGTATCGTCTGTCCCTGTGCACACTGACCCATTTTGAGTGCACTGTTCAATTCTCACCCAGCCCGTCCTAGAGGTATTTTAAACAGACTCCCTCAACACCCAGCAACCTTGAGCCAATGAAATCTTTCAGTCTGCACATGTGTGATACATACCGCTGTGAAAGCATGTCTCTATTTGAATCAGGTCGCCTCTTTCTCAGGCACTAATTGACTCTATTGAGTCTCCGAAAAAATAGCCAATGTTTTGCCAATACATAAAGTTTATTAGTGCTATATGGGAGGATTGGGCCTTTGTGTGCACAGCTTTGCTGAGTGACAGTGGCCTGAACTCCCACAGTGTGTTTATATAGCGCACATATCCTATTTAAAGTATTGTCAACTTTATTATTGAAACAATGATCAGTTATAACTCCACTTGCTGTCATTATAAGATTTGCTCAGCTAAGTGGCACAGCCCGACATGTCTTTTGGGATTTTATATATTCCCATCAAAGGCCTCTTCTTTATCGGTGTGTCTATGATTGGATTAAGCCTGAACTATCTGCTGAGAGTAAACAATGCTCCATCTACTGCTGATTGCAGCATTTGAGAGTTGGTTTATAAGAGTCACGATATAAAAAGATTTGCTTGCTTGCTCTTTTCACCGTGTCAGAGCTGCTCTTTTCTGGTGACAGATTTGAAATACCAAATCTTGGTTACTCTGCAGTTTTTGTTGGAGTGCGTATGTTACACATGTCTAGTCATCTGTGCTTCTGGGTATTTTTGTCAGATGGTTCATGTTTCAGTCAGTTTGGTTCTGTATGCCAGTTGTGTTCAGAAACTTGTTTGTCGCACTTTGTGCTCTAGTTGTGCATGGAAAAGCTTCTCAGTGCCATTGTGCTTGTAGATGTGAAGGCCATTGTGTGTAGTCCTTTCATGGAACCATGACTAAAACAACCAGAACTGGGAGAGGAACGATAAGACACTCTGACGCCCTCTGGTTATCCGTTCCAGTTGAGTTGTCTCATTAAACCTTTTTTTTTTTTTGGTTGGACAATGTAACCTTGAATGCACTGCTGAGCATTTCCACCTTGTTTTCCACTTTTTTTGTGTGTGGGACTCTCAAACTGCCTACCTCAGAGAGAGATTACTCATTCATCTCAAGGGTGTTATATAAAACACCATGTTAATTTAGTCCTCTGTTTAAATGGCCATACCTGCGTTACTGAGGCGAAACTGTGCTGCATCATCTCCCCTCAGAGGCACCAGCCCACTGAGTCGTGTCATTGCATTTTACATCTGTTCTGAAGACTAATAGTCAATCTGTCACTGACTTGGAGTTTTAATCTGTAGGTTGGAGTTTCGTTGTGTCAGAATGGATTTGCTGCAAGTGGTTTTGAGCTCCTGTCCTCTTGAAGTCCACAGACAGTGATGTTACGCACTTTAAGTGCAGGCTGTAATGACCACTGCAGTATCATTTGCGAGGGTGCTGATGTCTATTCTCTCCTCATTTTCACTGCCGTCATTGAGTGATACAAAATCCTGAAGGACTGCACTGTATGTCCCAGGCAAACTTTTTGCATTCAGTCAGACCTGATGTTTTCAGGACAATCTCAGCAAATAAGCACTTTATAGTTGAGTGTAAACAGCAGCATGTAGGGTGGCATGTGAGGGAGCTTTCAGCTGTCCTCAGACATTTGTGGACTGAGAGTTGTTTTCTTTATGATTGTGATTTATTTGTATTAATTATTAAAATGATTATTAATTATCATGATTATAATTGCAATAATAGTTATAGTATTATATTAGTAATAGTAATAATAATTATTATTGATATTCTTGTTATTGTTGTTATTATTATTCCTCATGTAAAGACACCCTAAGTGCAAACCTGTGTATTTGGAATGTACTGTATATGCATAGATGACATTTATTGTATAAAGAGACCATAATTATACTCCTAAGTTGTTGTTGTTTTTTCTTGACCGAATATTTTAGAGACTTGTGAGGACTATGGGAATGTTACAGTGAGAAATGAGAGTATTTTCTGCGGTATGTATTTTCCCTGTGTTGATTTATATTTGAATAAATATTTTCTCTGCACCTCTCTGTGTTTACCTTTTTGTAGTGTAGCTGGATAAAGAAAGCAAAAGACATGACTAATAAGACGAATTAAAACTGTAAAGGAAGGGGTTATATCTATAAAAATGTGCATATTTGTGTAATGTTATGTCGCAATAAAATATCGGCCGCGCGCGTGCGATACTATGCGCGCTCCCGGCGAAGATTCTGGGGATACTTGCGTTTGAGGCGAAGAACGAGGACGCGCGTCTGGCAGAACTAGGCAGATCTCCGCAAGCCTTCCGGCTCACACGATATCGGAAGGAGAGCGCAGAAACGCGACGGTGGACCGGTGAAGATGGAGAAAGTGTTAGGACTCGCCGTGGTGTCCAGTATATTATGTGTCGGCTCGGTTTTGGGGAAATACGTCAGAGGTATCGTCAACACAAAAGAGGTGAGTATAATGTTTACGTTTTATTACTGTGGTGCTGGTAACGGTTCGGAGTTTTCTGCGCATCTTCTGGTGGCTGTGTTATTAATGGGCTCTTACGGCAAGTCTGTATTCACGCCTCTGCGTTCGCGCGCATCTGGAAGCCTGATGCTTTAATATGCTTTGCCAAAATCATTACACTCGCCGCTATTGAGCCGATGAAAGCTTAATTCGTCCTCCAGTCAAGAAAAACACATTTTAAAAGGCGTATTGCCGACAACCAACTTACACCCTCCCATCAGCTTTTACAGGTGTGTGTCGACCAAGATGTTCTTCTGTGTATTATGCTGTCATTACAGCATTGTGGAGTTGCAGGTATCGCATGCTGGTGTCCAAACAGATTTAGGGTTGCTTAGCTCTGCTTTTAAAGGTGCAATGATGTGTGATGTGTGTCAATATGCGTCGACAAGTCGGTGCACAAAATTCACTTGGAAATAGACTGTTTGAGTCATTTATTGCTGTTTAAGTGTGTCTTTATTTGGCGTACGTCATTTTCTTTATTTTTAATAGCTGTTGGGTGATTTTGATTGCAGTGTGCCTTATGGGAAACATTGGCTATTATTTGATAGACACAAAGTAAATATTGGCCTTAAGCAAACAGTGGGACTGATTTTGCTGCAGAAAGTTATTGCAGCACTTATTTAATCAGATTGATTTAATGAACAAAAATGGGGGAAATTCAAAGAAATTAGGGAACACTACATTTCATTTCAAAAAGCATAGTCAGCCTATAAAGAACTGTTTAAAATGACTTTTAGCACTTAAAAGCATCCATATACAGCTTATTATTTTCTAATTTGACTAATGTTGATGTTTATGCAGTGAGTTAATAAAGTATGTGTTGGTCTCTTCCAATTAAAGTTGGCAGTTGTAGATGAGTCCTGCCCTCTATTTGCTGTGGGTAATGTAACAACAACCTGTGCCTGCTTTTATTCAAGTGCTGATCCTGCTCTATTTTGGGTCGCTATATGAGATGGTTAAACAGTCCATTAATCTCACTTCTGTTTATTTCCTTACAAGGTCATTCTTTTACACTGCCATGCACACATTCACACATACACACAT